AAAAAAAAAAAGATGGAGTTGAGGCCAAGCTCTGCCTTGGTGTCCTAACTAATCTCAGACCCAGGAAGGAGAGAAAAGTTTCTTCCCAAGGATTCCTATAGACCCAGAAAATGGTTCTGCCTCGCCAGCTGAGGGGGGTGGAGCTGCTGCATAATGCCTACCTCTGGGCCATCCTGAGTTCCCCCATGGGCTTAGGGGAGAAAAGAGAGTCACTGTCTACCCACTGCTTGCTCACCCCAACAGATAAAAGCCCCTTGGTTTTCAGAGGGACTCTGGAGAGGCAACTCACCTGGACTGGAACAGTGCGCCAGGAAATCCTCCCATCTTGGATAAGGTCAAGTTGATCCTCCATGGCTGAGTTCCAGGAGAGAACTTTTCCATGGAGTAGTCTGGGCCATAGTTGGGGTGAATGGATGGGAAGTTCCCTGAATGGTCCCTAAAACTGAAAATGAGGCAGCCATGGTAACTGTGTGGTGAGTGTGTCAGATCAATTCCCAAAGTCTCAAAGCAGACAGGCAGATGGAGGCTTGTGTATACAACTTGGCATGTCATGGGAAATGAAGCAGGGCTGTGTCTACATGAATGTGGCCTTGCTCACTGATGCCAGCATGGTGTGAGAGCCCCAGAAGGACATGCCCCAGAAGGACACTGTCTCTGAAAGGAGGCCACAGCCTCAGCTAAGCTCCCCTTGGAGAAACTCTCCTTCATTGACAGTCTTAAAAAAGCAATCATGGTTTTATTAAAAGAGTCTGATGGAGACCAGCTCCATGATGCATGACAATGCATGCTCAAGAGGATCTGGGTCTATATGGTGACCTCAATCCAAATTCCTGGCCAGGTCAGCCTGAAAGGTGATAGGGACATGAATGAGTACCCAAGATATGACAGGCTGGAGGGCTGGAGAAAGGGGACAGCAGCATGACCAGACCCTGTGAGGGGCACTCCCCACCTCTCTCTTTCTCATGTGTATGCACACACTCTCTATCACACAAAAAGAAAAATATATTAAGAGCTTGATGGGTCGAAATTCCACAAAATACTACAAATATCCACACCTCCCCTCCCCCCCACAGTTATGAGATGCTCTAGAGAGCCACTGATGACCACCCTGGAGCAGAAGTCTGGGGAGCATTTCAAGGGGGAGCCATGTAAGACATGGGCCTGGTCTCAAGACTCTGGAATAAGAAGCGGGAGCCACAATGTGTGCAAGGCTGTTGTTGTTCAATGAGGGGTCCAGTCAGTTCTCTCTGAGATTGGAGAGAGTCAGGGAAGGGAGGAGGGCAGTAGAGATGACAAAGGCTCGGGGGCAAAAAGGAAGAACGTACCTGGGGCTGAAGAGAAGACTCATCTCGTTGGATAGAGGGTAAGGTAAGGAAGGGAAGAAGGGTCAGAGAGGGCTTTCACGACCTAGCAGAAGAATTTGTAACTTGATCCTATAAGCAGAGGGAATCTATTAAAAGCATTTGGTAACAGAAAGGGCTAGAGCTTAGAGGACCAGGGAGAACATCTAGTCTAACCCTTCATGTTACAGTTGGGAATCCTGAGACCCAGAGAGAAAGAGATGCTTAAGTCATCCAGGTTATTTAGAACTATGGCCAGGTCTAGTCAGTTTAGGCCACTGTCCGTTGCATGCCAGAAGTGTTTGTGCTCTGAAGAGGAGAGGCTCCCTTTTCACCCCTAGGTCCAGTAGATGTTTTCTGCAGTACATGAGCTGTGGACAGCTCCCAGCCACACAGCTTCCTCTTGGAGTCAGAAAGGGGTGGGTACGCTTTCAGCACCACTCAGATCGCGGACAGTTCCTGCCACTGACTTCCCGCTAGAAGGGGGTTTGCAGATACTTTCTGCACCACACAAGCCTTGGGCAGCCCCCAGCCACCCATTTCCTGCTAGGGAGTCCTAGGGAGGGGGTGAGAGAGCAGTGGAGAGAGGGGCTGGTGCATTGACTTCTATTATCAGGGGGCCCAGATGCAAAATGAATGCTGTGATATTTATCCCTGTCATCGCTAATAATAAGTGGCCTGATTTGTCAAGCAGGGACAGATTAAAGGATGTCAATTAAGAAGAGAAAAAAGCCCAGCTGTTCTGTATTTATCTGCTGTGCACATTCTTGGCGGAGAAAAGGACCCAGATCTCAACACCTCCGTGCCCTCATCCCAGCCCACTCCCACTCCGTGCCTTCTCCCCTCCCTGCCACACCTCCTTCCTCTCCCTCTCTTCTGCCTCCCTCTCCCCCTTTTCCTTCAACTTGTCTCTACAACTTCCTGAACTTTTGTCCCTTTCCCTTCTGTTTTTCATGATCTCCTCTATTTTCTTTCTCCGTTCAACCCTCCTCTCCCTCTCCCCTGGCCTGCTGCCCTGCCTACCTTCACTCTCATACTTCAGTTACCAAAGAAATCTCTACCTCCCCACTCCACTCCCGGGTCTCTTCTCCCAGGTTCCCTTCCTCTAAGCCTCTGGCTGCTGTGACTCTGTTTTTTCCTAACTGGACTGCTGATCTCAGGCCTCAGAGTGTCTTCTGACTTCAGAGTGCTAAGAGATGTGGGCTACTGAAGGAACACTGGAAAAGCCACAAATGTGAAGGTGTTCATAAGCCACAAGTGTTGCCAACCTTGTTTTTGCTTTGAAGAGAAAAACAAAATAAGATCCTGGAGAATCAGTTTGACTGGGTCTCTGAATGTAGATTAAAATTTGAACGTAACACCTGAACTTGTGCAAAACGTCTCAATACTGTCTTCCTGAACCAATCTCGTCTGGGTTTGGGGGTCCTTTCCCAAGTGGCTGAGAGATTTAAATAGCACCAAGAATCTTCATCCTGTATCTAGAGTCTCTCCAATCAAGAAGTCACAGAAAAATGTCCCTGGGGTAGAAACCAACCCTGCAAGGCCATTTACATTAGGTGGGTCCCAGGAAGGATTTGGAAATGGGTCCATTTTGATACCTTTTATGGGGGCAAGGAAGCTCCAAGAGGGTGGCAATGCCTCAGCCTGGTATTCTCCACCACTGATGTGGGAAATTATTCTTCCCTTCTAAAGAATATCTCCTGTCCATGGGACCAGCATTTAGCATAATGACTATGTCGCTGGACTCCCACATAGTCAACCGCGGTTCGCGTCCCGGACCCGGTGGCTTAAAACTAACGCCAGGCTCATGTGCGTGCGTGCCCAAGATCCCAAGAGGAGAATGGAGGAGAAGGGATTGTGGCATGGCCATCCCCCCTGGGGGGTGATTTCTCGCTTTCTGTCTCTCTGTCTCTGTCTGTCTGGCGAGCACACACGCCCTGTAGTGAAAACCTCTCTAAGAAAAAAATAAATAAATAAAAAAGAATATCTCCTGTCCAGATGACCCAAGCAGGGATAAGAATCCTTTTCTGTCTGTGCCCTCTCTAGAGCCATGACACTCCCCCCTGAGCAACAGAAGAATAGTTCCCTGGATTATGAGATTCTGGATCCATAGCTACTTGGGTAAGGAGAGGCCACCCCTCTCCTTAGACTTCCAGCCTCAGGCCCACAACCCCTGCAGCCCACTATGATAACATGCTGCAGGACACCAAGACAACTATTTAGATGGGATTGGGGTTGCATTCATTCTGGCTGGGACTGAGGGTTACAGAATAGGCCAGTCTATGGCTAAGGAGGAGGGAAAGCCACATGGCCTCTAAGAAACCTCTGGTCTTGCCTACCTGGCCAGAGCCAGCTTCCCTGGGCCTTGCCAGGTGAGTGTAGATGGGACGCCCTTAGCCACATCCTCAGATATCCTTGCATCCATAAGGAAGTAAGGAAACCTGTCCCTACCGGTCATAATGCTTCTCAGGTAACCATTCACCACCTGGCGTAATGAATCCCAAACCCATTGTCCTCTGCCTTCCCTCCACCCAGGAGCCTGTTGAGAGGACCCCTACCGCAGTCCCTGGGCAAGAACTTCAGATATCCCTTCCAAGAACCATGGATCCCCAGCTACGTTTTGTTCCCCCACAAAGGCCCAGCCTCAGCCCTTCGTGCTTTGACGCAGTGACATTTATGGCCTATTTAATAGCCATGGTTACTTAGACTCTTTGGAAGACACAAGTCACATGGCTCTGGCCCCTGTTCTCTGCCACTGGTGAGGATTTGGGACAGTAATTTGTAGTTTTAGAAGCAGTTCTTCATCCATGATTTTTTAAAAATAATTGTATTTGATCCTCACAATAGCCCTAGGAAAAGACAGAGACAATATGTTTTCTTCCCCGCATTCCAGATTATGGAACAGGAATGGAACTTTCACTCTAGAGCCTGAAATAGAAGCCAGACTCTGCCCAACGACCCTTCCTGTGTTCTGCACCTTCAGAGTGGGATGGTCCGAGGATGATGCAATGACAACAAGATAATGACTGAAGCTGATCTTTGAGTTCTTGGAGAGAAAGCTGTCATAGACAGAGAAGTGATTGGTGCAGCCAGTAGCCACGAGCACAGACATTAGGTCATCTGCTGATGCCTTAGTTTGAGTTCACAAAGCCCAGGAGTGCTGCATGAGTCTGTTCCTTAACTTTCAAGGACAAGGAGACCACTGAAAATTACTCTGAGCTGGAAAGTTGGCAGCATTTTCTACAAGCCTGCATCTTCCTCCTCCCTTTTTATGTATTCCTGGAATAATAATGATAAAATAATAATAATGAGAAGACACATTCATTGGATACATAATGTCTTCAAAGCACTAGGCTAAATGCTTCACACTGCATTATTTCCTTTCTTAATCACAACAATCCCCACAGCACAGGGACTGTTATCTCTCCTTTTTCAGAGAAGACTGAAGTTCAAGGATGTTAAGTAATTTGCCCAAGGACACTGCTCAAGGATGTTAAATAATCTGCCCAAGGACACTGCTCACAAGTGGCAATCAGCATTGAACTCAGATCTGTACTCAAACTGAAGCTTAGAACCAAAATCTTTGGCCCCTCCTGTCTTGAAGTTCTCAGCCCGAGCTGAGGCTTCAGGTCCAGATGGAGGGGGTTCCTCCATCAGTCACAGACCCCAGGTTCGTTCACTGTGGTGATCTAGGGCTTTGCAGAAGCTGATCAGTGTTCTGCTCTCCTTTCTGGGAAGTTCTCCCTGCTCAGCCACCGAGGCAGACACTGTGGGGGCTCCACCCATCTCTCCTGCCCCTTACCATCTCAAGGCCGAGATGCCAAGTCTCCATGTCTTCATTTCTTTGTCTAAGGATTTTGACCACTGGCTCCTCTTTTCTGAGTGTAGAGATGGCACATTAATCAGGGTTTTCTAGGGAGATAGAATCGACACGACAGGTTTAGATACACAAGAGGGGATTTATTGAGAGAATCAGCTTGTGATTATGACAGTTGAAAAGTCCCACAACAAGCCATCTGTCTACAAGTTGGGGATCAGAGATCCTGGTAACATGGGCGTGCCTACATCCAAAGGCCTCAGAGACAGGGAAGCCAATGGTGTGATTGAACTTTGAGTTCTCAAGTCCAAGGCAAAGGAGAAATCTATCTGGCTCTGTCTTACAAGAGACCCACTGGTCTCCCATATTTATTCTCTCCAGGTCCCCTGATGGCTGGATTGTGCCTGCCACACTGAGGGCAGATCTTCCGCATCTAGTCTACTCAGACTCACATGTTAATCCCTTCTGCAAACCCTCCATGGACACACCCAGAGGAATGCTTTCCTGAGGTGTTCTTTGGTCTAATCAAGTTGACACCCAAAGCTGAGCACCACAGAAGTCGAGATAGACCAGGGAATGAATGTCCCGGGGAGCAGCCTTCAACTAGTACCTGCTGGGGGTGGGGCACAAACCCCTAGCGGCCTGGCTCCTTGGGTGGGTCAACACTGGGGCATGTGCTCTATGCCAGCTTTCTGAGTGGCTCAATAGGACCTGTCTCTACCTGCCGTCATGGCAGCTGGTTGGAAAGGGCCCCTGCTGCCCTTCCCTGCCATGTTTCCTGCACTTAAATACTATCTCAGTGTCGGTTTCTGGAGGAAGCCAAGTTAACCCTCCTTTTCCCCACCCTCAGCAAGAGAGTATCAGGGAGATCTGACCAGTGAGCAGTGCCGTCTCCCCACTCCAGTCCCCTGAAAGTCTCCCCATGCCCTCGGGATGAAGTCAGAACCTTTAAGCTGATGTGTGATGCCCTGTGCTCTGGTTCCTGCCTGCCACACCCCCAGGACTGCTCACATCACTCTGTCCTTCCGGCAGGCCCACCCTGCAGCCCCATGCCCTCCACCTGGTAAACATCTGCTTACCTTTCAGGGCTCAGATCACAGACCACTTCCTCAACAGAAGTCATTTCTGACCACTCCCCTCAGGAAAAAGGCACCACTCCTGCTGGGGAGCCCCTAGCTGACTGAAACTTACCAGTGTCCCAGCCCCTGTCATCCATCATGGGGCTTCCTGTTTATGGGGCCTCCTTTCCCACCCAATGGCAAGCAAGCTCCTCCAGGGCAGGGGCCAGTCAGACTCGCTCTGAGTTGCCAGCCGGTTCCCTAGTAAAGGTGGGGTGAGTGAGATGAGAGAAGGAAGTGCCAGGAGGAAGCAGTTCTTGCAGGCTCTTGTTGGGCGCATTTTGTTCTCTCGTGGTCTCAGAATTTGTCCCCCAAGCTCTGGTGGCCTGACAGCTGGGCTCAGGGATCCAAAGTAGTGCTCTATCCTCCTTCCTCTCAGCCCTGCCTCCCCTGGTCAGTGAGACAATGTCTAAACTGGAGTCTCCTCCATGCTCACCCCACTCCACATGACCGACGGAGACAGCCTGATATTCCAGAAAGAGCACCCACCTAGGTTTAAACCCAGCTGGCTGTGGGTCCTTGAGCAAATTACTAAGCCTCTGGTTTCCCATCTGAATCCAGTTTTCCCATCTGTAATGGTGGCTACGGCGAGTATCTGCCTCTCAGGAAAGCTGCAGGCCTTGCAGACAACTACAAAGGGGCCAGCACATCTCCCGGGATGTGATGCTCTGTCCAAACCACAGTCCTGTGTGGACCACCTGAGGAGATGGGGGAGGGAACACAACAGGCGTTAGAGGAACTTCGCCCATCTTACTTCAGTCACTCCATTTCACAGATGGGCAAACTAAGGCCCAGAGAATAGCGATCCTCCCAAGCTCCAAGTGCCAAACGGGGAAACGTGCAGGTGCGAGCTCTTTGGCTGTGTTCTTTCCATTGCACCAAGTGGCTTCTTTGCAGCCACCATTGTTTAACTAAAGTGGGTTTAAAACCTCTTCTTTTCTCACCCTTCCCTATGGTAGGTCCTCATGCAGAGTTTGCTGAGATTCTCTACCCACTACACCGTCCTAACAAGCCTTCCACACACTTGGCTGTGTGCACCTTGTTGTCTACACCTGTGCACACATGACACCTTCCTCAGCAAAGATCCACTTCTCCTTTGTGGATATCCAGAGCTGCAAGGCTAAAGGGACTGGCCACCAACCCCATCCCAGGCCCCAAGGTCTCTTGACAAGAAAGCCAGAGCTGGAGACTAGCTGGGGGACAGGATGATCCCTCAATCTGCAAAAGTCTCTGACCTCCCCGAGGCTCTCTGCTAGGCTTCAGCGATCCAGAGAGAAAGAGGTCAGCGTCTACACCCCACAGTGGTCAGGGCTGGGGGATGAGCAAGTTCTTGTGTAAGGGATGCTATTCAAGGCCGACACCAGGAGCTGAGACACAGGGCCCATGGCAGGACGGAGTGGGCACTGGTCTGCTGAGACTTCCCTCAGGGCCACCATCTGCCCACCAGGTCCCCTCAAAAACCTGACCATCGCAGGGCCTGGCAGTAAACCCCAGATCCCCCAGAGAGTGCCTGCCTGTGATTGGTGTGATCTGATCACTTTGCAGAGAGGAGCACAGCATGGTGAGAAGGGGGGGGCATCCTCTTCCCAACCTGTTTCTCCCTCCTTCCCCTCCCGCACAGCCCCGTCCCCCTCCCCTCTTGAGCTGTCCTATTAATAACTTGTGTTACCATTAGCTTTTGCCGTCGCCAGCACTGACAACTTAGAAGCCCCCGAGAGCTGTCTGCAAAGACACAATAAATGAGAACTCTTAATTAACACCTCCCTTAACTAAATAAATTAATTTTATGCAGTTGTGATGTCAGCCAGTGACTTGCTGATGACTGGGGTGACTTGGACAGACCTGGAAAGGGCTGCAGGGTGGTCTCGGCTGAGCAGTAGCGGGCAGCAGGGAGGCAGCCGTGAGCACCCACAGCTGAGCCAGGGATAGTACACAGGCGGGGTACCCAGGACCGAGCAACCACCAAGCAACTGCATGGTGGGGACCAGCTGGAAAGTCTGGAAACCCAGGACCATCCCCAGCTCTGCCTCTGCCTCCTAGTGGCCTTGGGCAAGCCACTCCAACCCTGACCAAGTTCTTCAGTCCAGATCCAGGATCAGCCCCAGCCAGGTCTGAGTCAGCCCCTGACCTTGATCCTCTAGCCACGTCCTGGCCCGGCCTGTCCTGGACCCCCTCAACTGCAGTGCCAGCCCTACACCAGGCCTGGGGCATCCTTCTCCTCAGCCCCCAGGACTCCGCTGTGCTCCAATCCCCGTCAGCCTCTCCCTGGGAGAGGCAGAGGGGCCCCACTTCTCCAGCGCTCACGTCACAGGCGCCTTCCACAAAAGGAGCACCCTGGGCCCACACTGCTCCTCAACACTTGGCATCACTAGGCCAGCTCCAGGTTAGCTCCATTCCCAGGACCTGTGCACAGAAACGGCACCCCGAGGGCCACATAGCACAGCCGCGGCCAAGCAAGGACTGGGCGCAGATTCCCGTCTCCCTCTGGGGGGGTGGGGATGTTCACTGTCCTCACTTTTCTGGGCCAGGGGAGCAATTCATTCACTCAGCCATTCAGTCATCCTGTAACAGTCATTGACTGTCCCCTCTTGCCAGGCACATGGGGTCGGTGATGGACAGGACAGACATAGCGCAAGCTCTCGTGGGGCTCACAGGCCAGGCAAAGGCAAGACGTGTGCCCTGGCAAGCCCGCTGAATGTCTCACTCCCTTCCAGTGTGAGTGCACACACACAGGCACACGCACGCACGCACGCCAGGCTGGAGAACTGAGGACACGCCCGGAGAGGAGCTGTGATGAGCCAGGGGCTGGAAAGGCCTTAGGGTCTCTCCATCTGTCCATGGAGCTACCAGGAAAGAGATCCTCGTTGGTGGCTGTGGACACAGAGTGCTGCCTTAGTCATCGGGTCCACATGGCTATGAAGGAGCAATGATGTCATCACGTCCCCAGGCATACTGACGAACCCACAGTGACCCTGCCCAGAGCCTACACCCCTGCAGCCACGTGGAGTAGCTGGGAGCAGAAGCTGGGCAGGGCTGCAAAAGAACCACCCACCAGCCCCCTCCCTACCAGGGCAGGAGCCAGGCAGGATAACAGAGGTGCTGAGGCCAGAAGCCCAGGCCAGGTGTCCCCGGCCAAGAACATTGGCAGATCGTGGCATCTTCCTGCCATGGGTTCTTGAACCGTGGTGTGATTGACCTCAGGTCCCCCTTTGAGCATGCTCCCCTGAATATCTGGACTCCTCCCCGGCTCCTCAGAAGCAGTTCCATGCAGAGCCCAGGAAGCAGCGGGAAATCATGGCGTTTGGAGGTAGCAGATCCAAGCTCCAATCTGTTCTGTGTGAGCAGCTGTGTGACCCTCTGGTGCCCTTCTCCAAGGCTGTGATGGCATGAGTCTGCCTCTGTGCCTGGCTCAGGGTTGGGGACACAGTGGGTACCCAATCACTGGGAATTCCTCCATCTCAAGTCCCTGCCAAAAGCTAGTCTACCTGCACCAAAGCCCCGGGGACACAGCTCCAGAGAGAGGGACGTGCCTACAGGGGGCCTAATACTCCTGTGCCTAAACCCCTCCACAGACACGTCCAGAGGTCTTCCGGGTTCTGCCTTCCGGTTCTCAAGGGATGGAGCACTCCCTCCACTGTGCAGGGACTGACAGCTCTGTCTGAGGGAGGTTTTCCTGCAGAGTTGAAGTAGACCTCCCAGGATTGGCCACCATCCTGTCACCTGTACCTTCCTGATTCCCTCCTGGAGACTCCCTCCACCTGTGGCCATCACCCAGGGTCCAGGCTTCAGTAGGGGTGCGTTGGGGAAAGTGAACCTGAGAGGCCAGCCAACCTCCAGCTGGGGGTATTACTCCCCCTTCTCCGTGCCCTGCAACCTTCCCCCACTTTCTCCTTCACGGGGCTCTCCTGGTGGACCAATCTCCAGTGTCTCCACTCATCCTTAGCACTTCTCCGCCTGGGCCTCTAGGTATTAGAAGCTAGGTCTGGTAACGTAAACTCATCGCCAGGAACAACCTCTGGACGGTGGAATGATGGACATCAGGACATCTTGGGAGGCCATCTGGGAGGGAGAGCCTTCTCCCATCACCCTCCACGGGCTGCTACACTGCCCTTCAGAGTAAGACTCCTCCTTCAGAGTCAAGGAGATTGGAAAGCGTCACCAGCCTGCCCAGCCCTGGCCATGGTCTGGAGCCTGCTCTTCCACAGCAAGCCTTCGCCAAAGCAGCCGGGACGGCTGTGGCTTTAAGAACAGCTCCTGCCCACAGAAGCAATCGGGAAGGGATTGATTTTTTTGGGTTCTCCTGGAGTCTGGGATCCAAAATCAATCTGGCAAATTAGCAGGCAAGGTGTGACGTGGCCGCTGGGTTTCAGGCCCAGCACCCCCTGTCATCTCACTTCCTAGGAGAGGGGCTCTGCTCCTTCACTGCCCCCTCTCCCTGCCCCCATGTTCTGGGGCTCTGCTGACAGCTCCTGAGAGTCCAGCCAGCTGCCTGTCTTCTGGGACCTTGTCACCTGGGCAAGGCCACAGGATCAGCCTGCCCAGCTCCCAGATCCCAGGGCTGGAGGGGAGGAGCAGAAAGCCCCTTTCCCAGCCCCACAGGGCGGCCTGGGTTCCTGGGCATACTCTAGCCAGAGAAGAGACAGCCTCTGGGAGTAGGACGTGGCAGGGGCTTCCAGGGACTCCAAACATCCTGAGAAGGGGTGGGGAGCCAGCCCAATGGGAGTACAGAGTTGTCCATCCCATTCTTCACCCCCAGATGGATGCTGGACACTGGGGCAATGTAGCTCTCACCCCTATGGAGCTCCCCCTCCTCCCTCCCACACATCTGGGCACCCAATCATGGGGATGGGCTGTGAGGAAGGGCATGGGGCTTCAGAGAAGTAGGGGCTGTCCCAGGAGAGCCATGGCATTGCCTTGAGGAAGGTCAGGAGAGTGAGCTCTGATCTTCCTCTTCTGCCCTCTCCTATGCTGTGTGACCTTAGGCAGCTCCCCTCTCCTCTCTGGGCCTCCAGGTTGTTTATATACTGTACCATGAGGACGGGATCTGATGATCTGCCTGAGTGAGTGAAGCAAGCGGGGGGCTCTCAGGAACTGGACCCCAATACCATGTGGGGTTTTCCAAGTGGGCAGTGGCCTTTGCCAAGTTCTCCCATAGACCCAGGAGCAGCAGGCCAGTTGCTCAGGTAAGGTTATGTGCTGTGGGTGAGAATACACCTGGGGCCTTGCTTCCAAGCTTGGCTCCAGCTCTTGTTTCCACTCCTCCTGGGCCTGTGCTGGGGTGGAAGCCAATACCTGGAGGGACTCAGGTCAGCCCCGAACTGCTGCACACAGGCCCAGGGCTACAGAGTGAGGGCCTCCCTTAGAGCCTGCCAGAGCCACCCAGAGCAGAGCCCTTGGGCCTAGAGATGCTCTGCGCCCTGAAGCACAGGCAGGTGGCAGCAGAGCAGGAGCCCTGGGGTTCAAGGGCAGACTCTCTCCCATCTCCTTTGACCTGGGACAGACTCCTTGAACTGCCTTCCCCCAACACAAGAGCTGGGAACCTCTGGCTAAGAACCCCATCTGTCGATTCTTGGGGCCCTCTCCTGACCCCTACTCCTGGGGCTTAGTCACCCCCTGGCACCAGCCAATGGCAATAGGCCAAGTCTTGCCCTGGGACAAGGCAGGGAGGGGGCCTTCCTCTCTTCAGGAACCTAGTAGC